TTTTATTTACTATGATGTCTTCTTTTTTTGTGCAGGCGGTCTGAAAAGCGAACGCAGTTCAGTGGTGTCCAGTCTGGACTGCCTGTCCAGCATTGTGGAGCGGATCTCCACCGATAACAGCAGCCTGCTGCCGCCTGCTGACGGCCCAGGATCCCCACCGACGACAACTGTGCCGGTGGGTGAAGCAGGCACTGCCCCGGCGACCACTCAGGTCTCGTCTCCGACTGCCAGTCAGGACCCCAGCCTGATTTACCAAGTCCTATAGACCCTCACACATAGATATTCAACTCGGACATTACAATAAATTTAAAAAATCCCCAAATCTTGTCAAGTTATCCAGCCATAAGAACACACACACACACACACTCACTGAAAATGATTATTTACACCAGCTGAACTGAGAAACCACCACTATGGTTGATCAGCTGCTTCTTATCTATTTATTCTCTTTAGATCAATGTATGGAAGCTCATTCCTGCCAGAAAAAAAGATCAGCAGTAAAAATCATTTTAAGTGTTTTCAATTGAGTTGCCAAGAAAAAAATCCCGTGGCTGTGAGGTCTAATTAAAAGTACACATACCTAAGATTTATTTTCAGTTGTTAGATATATGTTTAACAAAGGAATGATAAAATCTAGAATTACTGATTTCAAACCTATATGTAAAGAAAGATTTTTTTAAGCGTCCAAACTAAACATCTCAATGTTTCATGATCAGATGCGGTTTGTTGATTCTACACGGAGACGCTAATAAAAGGAGGAGCCTGAAAAAAAAGATTTTAAAAAGTCATAGTCAGGAGCTGAAGTCTTAATTTTGACCTTGTATGTCATACAAATGGAAAAAATTGCTTTTATCATTCCAAAGTTACCTACATTAGTTAATTTTCCAAGCAGGAATGAGCTTCCACAGCCACCCCAGATTCCTTTTCCTGTTTCTGAAATAAGTCGAGATCAGACCACTTAATTCTATAGTTACGTTTTAAATAGAAACCAGTTCGGTTCTTGCTGTATTTTTATTTAATTTTAAGTTATGAAAAATATTTTAAGCCTCAGCTTAGTCTTTCAGATGGATCCCCCACCTTCCCCACTCCAGCCTTCTGTGTATAGTCTAGCTGATGAAGGACGGAGGCCAAAAACCACCCATTAACATTCCTCCACTTTCGTCTATCTGAAGTCCGAAAGGCCCCAGCTGTTCGATTCCCTCAGGAGGAAAAAGGAACTACAGTAACTGTTTGACATTTTAGAAGGAACTTGATGTAAAAGCACAAATTTCTGCAGTAAAAGCTTAACAGAATCCGGCCTGCGGGTACAGAAGTATTGTAGTGACTTTTTTTCCTCCCGTCAGTTTTGAAGTAGGTTCAGACCTCCTTCCTGTCCAAAACGGATTTTTAATTTCTTTCATTTGTCATTTCACTCACTGCAGCGGAGGACCACTTTTCTGTTTCTGTAAATATTCTGTAAATAAGAGCTGATTTGTTCCGACTGAAAGTATTAATTATGTATTTAATGTTTCTGTCTGTACGTGCTTTTGTTTGTTGTGAAAAATGTTAAACTTTATATTTATACATCTGAAAATGAGTGACAGTCTAAAGACAAATAAATGCTTATTTATACAAAATATATACATATGACTCTGACTTATGATGTCTTGTTTTTTTTTTAATGTCCAGAATTTATTTATAATTTTTTTTAATTTTTTGTGGGAAAATTTTCAAGAAAATGTTTTCATTGCCTTGATATTTAAAATAATTGAACGCATAAATTTCAAAGCAACTGGTGGTTTTTGTCCATAAAACTACTCGTCTAAGATTACCACAAAGTAAAAGATCTCTCAGCAAAATTAGCAACATTTTAGGCACTATTGCTCCTATCAAGTCAGTGAGCTGGGATTTTTTATTCTAAACATGAACTACAGTTACAGCAACAGACATGGACGACTGGTTCCCCACACAACAACTCAATGTCCACTATGTGAAGCAGCCAAACACATGCCTGCTCCTCTCGTTAACTGAGATAAACTGCTGGCATATTTGTTTTACATCTATACTGTCCAGTCTCTGGTGGACATGGCAACACGTTATTCACGGTTACATACAATTTTAGACTGATGTGGGCCAAAGCCTCGCACATACTTGCACATACTTTTCAAAAGGGCTGGGGGGGGAGTGGTATACGTACAAAAAACTTCAATTTTACAATGTTTATTTATGGGATAAAAAAGTTAATTGTCACCGTTATTATTGTCCGGCCGGAAACAAGCTGGGGATGTCCAAATTCAGAGGCTGCGTCCACCTGAGGACCCGGTGTTGTGCCAAAAAGTGATTGTCTGCCAAAAGCTGATTGCCTGTATTTAAACTGCTATAAATAACTTGTTGGTCTATAATATGTGAAACATATGTCAAGTGTATCCCAAATGTATCAAGTCATCCTGAGCAACAAACAACATTCCTGTAACAAGGTAGAAGCCGCAATCACTTTTTGGCAGTGACTTTTATGTATCCTTTATTTATGCAGTTAAAAAAAAAATATTGTTGGCTTTAAAAATGTTTCTTTCAAGAGTAATCTGGCCAAGAGGACAGCTGAAATTGCAACAAATGCAAAAATAGTTCTGTAAATATATTTTAAGTGGACAAACGGGAGCTGATTGATTATAATGTAAGTACAATAACACAGTTACAAAGATACTTGACAAACAGGTAAATTTTTAATTTGATATATAACCCCTTTGTAATACCTGTTCACCAAAGTCTATTTAGCAACATACATAACGATATTACACATAAAAAACACACGGAAACATTGGAAATCAGTTTTTGGCACAACACCGGCTCAGATATTTGAAGTTTACTCAGCTACTTTCTCCCTGGAAAATATGTTAAAAGTTTATTTTACGACCCAGAAAGTGTAATAAGAGCAATATTAAAACTAAGTAGATGCAGTAGTAGCCATTGTTGGAAACTGGAATTGGCTTGGCCGATATGGGATATGGTTTTTCAATTTTGTTGTCCGGGTGGAAAATCGGGAGAAATTCGGTAGAATGGTGGCTCCTGAAATTCGTGATTCTCCCGGAAAAATCGGGAGGGCTGGCATGGCCTGTAACGTTATTATGACGGACACATTTTATGAGTGAACTTGACTTTAGGTGACTTACAGGTTTCTTTGAAAAATACTTTCTTATATCCAGGGTCTTCCTTTTTGCTGCCGTCCTCCTCTCCTCCTTGCAGGTCCAGGCAGCGCAGGCTTGCTGCTGCTAAAACTAAACAGAGCTCCCTGAAAGGCTCAGCCAATCACATTGGATATGTTTGTCAAATGAGGAAGGACTCCAGCAGAGAACGTAATTTAACTCTTTCTGCACCGCAAGGTGAATGAGACGTTGACAGATCGGTTTTTATCTTTGTATCGGGTAAGTACTTTAGTTAAGAGTGATGGTGACTGTCACAATAACTCTGTTAACAATTATAATATTCAAGTTATTTTAAATCCCTGAATGACTAATGAAGGTTTGAGCTTTAAAACGCTTCTGAACAAACACAAACATTGTCCGATCCTGTTCCTGTGACCTTGACTTACATGCTGAGGCTCTGCTCCGTGGTACACAGACCAACAGCGCCATCATGTGATTCTACGGAAGAACTGCAGCAATTGGCACCTCTAGGTTTTGGTTTGTTTAGTCCTTTGCACTGCTGCCAACATCAGCACACGTGCATTGTGTCATCACTGGTCTTTGTGACTCCTCATACTTGTTTGTGTTTTTCCTTTTTGGTGAATAAAATAAGGTTTAGCAATTTAGCTTGTCTTGTCTCCCGCCATTGTCACTGGCTGTGTGGCAGCTTGTGACAAAATAACAGTGAAAGTGATCTTTTTCTTTTTTCCACAAATAAATAATTTTTTCCTAATTTTTTCTGTTCAGGAATGCAGGTAAATATCAGTAATATGAATAAATGTAATGTGCTTTCTAAACTTTTTTCAGCTTTTCTTCTAAAACTAATAAAAATGAATAGATAATAATAATGATATTTAAATATAATTTTTAGTAAAGTTACAGTAAGTTTTGTCAGGTTATTTAGTAGGAAAAAAAAAGAATATTTTACTCCTAAATATATATTGATTAGTGTGTAATTATGTCTTTCACCAAACTGATGCATTCTCATAAACAGCAGCTGGCACCTGTTTGTGAAAGCTGCCATGTTGCCATGTCAGTGGCCGAGCAGGACATCGCCTTTCCATCTTATCATGCTCTATGTATCTGACTAGATTTCAGACACATATGTAGAAAACCAAAGGCAGAGGAGACAAGAACCTGTGGGGATTTTGAATCCTGGAGTCAAATATTATTTTATAGCTGCACCTTCAGCCTCGTGATATGAAGCATCATATCCGTGTTTCATTGTCATCAAAGAAGCGGAAAAGCAAAGGAAAGAGACAGTGTGACAGGCCTCCGAATAAGATGTTATCCTCTTCTGTCTTACCTCAAGCCTCATCTCCTGAACTGATGTCCGGGCTGCAGCTAACAGCGGCTAACAGAGGTTAAACAGCAGCGGTTACCGACAGAAAAGTAGAGGAAATCCTCAACAACTCCCCTCAGCAGCACTGTCATTGGACAGAAGTGAGCTTCACTGACTCATTGACTCATATCAGACTCATGTCACAATATTTACAGCCTCCTCCAGAGTAGCTGGACAGATTGACTGTGGTAAATAACGGAATGTTCCTTGCATTAAATTCAACATTTAATGTGCTTTCATAAGCTCCTATCTTAGATTAAAAATAAGATTTTTTTTATATAAGTAGTATTATATATAAACTAGTTTCCCTCCCTCAGTTAAAAATGATAATGTGCATACTGATCACTTGCAAAACCTAAAATATTTGGAGACTGATAAAAGCAGGGCCTCTGTTTCCTGCCGGGTCATTTAACAGTGTTAAAGAAACGACTTTAAAATTACACATCTAAAAATACTGAACTTTATTGATTTACTAAAGAACAACAGATCTACAGACATGGCTTGAAGTGTCACACTTTATTTACAAAAATACTGAGAACCAAACAGTCGAGGGTGAGGAAGCGTGACGGCAACAAAGTTTAATGGTTTTTATTCCTACTGAAGAGCAGCTAAAGGCTCCTGGTTGCATGTTTCATAGTGTGGTTGGTTGGCTGCAGGGTAAACCTCAGCATTACAGGCTTCTTCTGAGCTAAGACCTTTGCCACAGCGTGCATTGCTTCATCAGGCATGTGTCCGAGATTATCCTGGTTTGGTTTCTGGGCACGGGCGGGCCGAGTTGATCTACTTTCTGCGGCGGGCGGCTCCCTTCTTGCTGCTGTAATGCGAAACGCAAAGAAATTGGACATATTTCAGAACTTTGAGCTGTTCTCACATTGTGCGATGTCGTCGATGCTGATTTGCAAATTTATACTCAAACTCAAACTTCAGAGAACAGCAGTGAACAGCTCAAAGACTCCTTGGTAGAAGTCAAGCACGAGGAGAGTGCAAAAACATGTTTTGCATCATCACATATGAAGCTGAGAGCATTTCACTAGCTGCAAGCATGTTTGTCCAAAATCTCTTGAGGAAACTGGCTGCTTAAAATAAAAATCTCTTCTCAGTTAAAGAAACGGATGGGTGTGTTTTTATCCAACCGTACAGATTTAGATTTTTGTTAAAATTTTGTGCAGCAATCATTCAAAAAAGTAACTGAAAATATTAAAATTATCTTTTTGAGATATGAAAAATATCTTAATTCAGAAAAAAACATGAAAATCCTCATAAATTGTTTAGGGTGTGTTTAGTGTATGTTTTGAGTGGGATTTTGGAAGCAGAAAACACAACCCAGGAAATTCAGCTCGCATGCACAACTCATGCTGTACTTACCTGCATGGGCTTAATTAATCCAAAGGCACTACCTCAAATCCATCCCCTTTATTTTCGATCGTGTATGCACCGTTACAGTCGTGTTTGCTCTAATTAAGACCTGTGAGTCTGTGAGAAGCTCAGGCTTTAGACTGCTCGAAACGTCCAGACAGTTTTTTTTCTATACTTAATAAAGAGCATATTTCCCAAATATGGTCAACGCAGGCACGCAGCTCAGTCTGTAAGCACCAAAGCTCCGCCCACCTGATGCCAGAAAGAAAGCGAATGCAACTGACATATCGTGAAAGGTTTCATGTGTCACGTTTGATGTCTTAGGGTGAGTACTTAATGTTCAGGGTAGAAGCGTGATGATGCAGCTGCACCCTTCTATGAAACACCTCTGCATTAAGTACTTGTGCTCGTTAGTCTGGCTGACCAACAGAGTCCAAACAACATGACAGCTGAGATGTTTTTGGCCTGTGTCTGGACCGGGATTGGAACTGAACCATCTGTGGCAGTGTTACTGAGGTGTTCTTGTGTTTACTGTATGATTATTACTGTTTGAGGGATAAAACTAGTAGTCTTCTATCTCAAATTCATCATAAGATGCATGCTTGATTTTCTAAGACCTTTTCATGTCATTTTATAATGTTAATGATAAATTAAATGGTTAGGGTCAAGGCTAGGGTGTTATCACTGAAGGGTCTAAATCAGGGGTAGGAAACTCAAGGCCTCGAGTGCCAGTGTCCTGGAGGTTTTAGATGTGTCCATGATCCACCACAGCTGATTTAAAGGGCTAAATGACTCCTCAGCATTTCTTGAGGTTCTCCAGAGGTCTGGTAATGAACTAATCATTTGATTCAGGTGTGTTAACCCAGGGTGGGATCTAAAACCTGCAGGACACCGGCACTCGAGGCCTGGAGTTGCCTACCCCTGGTCTAAATTGACACGGAAAACAAATAATGCACTGTGATAACTCAGCTGTTATTCCTGCACACACAATAAAAGGCTGCTCTCTTAGACACTAACATTTCCCTGCAGAGTGTCTAGTGTTTCATAGCTTGATGTACTCTGTCCCTATTAGTTTTCAGCCTTAAACCGACATGAACTGTCTCAGTGTGATGACAGTTATGTCTTTCCGAGGGGAGAGTTATCACATTATCACGTTATCATGTGGAATTAAATTAAGTTATACTTTGGGGGGGATTATTGGGTGCTGGCGAAGTCAGCAATGACAATACTCACTGCTTCTGCAACTCATCAATGCGAATCCTGTACGTGAGAACCTGGAAATGACACAGCAGCAGCTTTAACTTGCAGCAGGATACCTTTACCTCGGAGAACGACTCCTTCAGCTGAACGGGCTCAGTGGGCTGGAAGCTGCGGGCCAAAGCATCATGGGAAACCAAGGCAGCGCCGTGCATAAGAATCTTTTTGTTACCCAGAGTTTCTTCTGTCCTGTGATGTCACCAAATTAAGCACGTCTGCTGTGGTTTCCCACAAAGGCGCACAAACATTTAATTCCCCTTTAGCTCAGCTGTGAAACCTCACCAAACCCTGACTTACCTTTATGCTCGCTCAAACACATAGCTGAGGCTGTGTGATGTAAAACTGAGCATCACAGTCACTCAGCACCACCTTTACAGACACTTCAGATTATTCATTTGCTTGCAAACGGAGAGTTTGAGTCCAAAACTGGCACCGTGTTCATCCAGTTTCTCTTTGTTTCACCAACGTACAAGCAACTGTGGCTTACGACAAATATTGGAGTTTTACTAATTTAAAAGTGCGGTTGCAGTTCTCTGCAATGCATCCATTTAACATTAAATGCATGACATTAGATGTATATTTTACTATAATGCACAAATACTTCTACACGATCTGGAGTTGAACAACCAAACTTGGTATAGAGGCGCTTCTTGGGCCTATAAAGACTCTTGCCAAGCGTCTAAACGACATCTACCACCCCTACCTTTTCTTTATTTTTCTCAGTAAAATATCTTATTTTTCTTTGCAGTTGTCACCTGCAAAACAGGTCAAACAGTACAGTAGCATAGTCATGTAGTAGTTATAATAATATAAACAGAGAGCTCTTGTGCTAATATAGAGGCTATAAATAGATTTATATATAGATATTATATACAGGTAAGCCCATTTTTTAAAGTATATGCAGGCAGGACCTCTGTTCACATTTAAACTCACTGAATATAAAATCAGTTCCAGTCATTTTAAGACTGGTTCTCTGAGATCCTTGTTTTAAAAAAACAATCCTGGCAAAAAGTTAAAACCCCACTCTTATTCATAAGAGGTTCCTGGAATCCCATGAGCACGTGTCACCTTTTGGAAACAAACTCCTCCGTCCTCTTTTGTCTTTCTCGCTTTTTAATCAGGTGGTGTGTTGTTTCCTATGTCAGCCAGCGGGGGCGCTCTGCTCTGACTTTCCTCGTGCTAACATGCAGGGAGCCGGCATGACTGCTGCTCAGCTGCACTACTTACAATTTACTGAGCTCCTCGATTCTCTTACGCAGGGTAGTAACCTGGAGGAAATCAAGAGTATATCGAGGGTTCAAATCCCGAGGTGACCTTGGGATGCCAACCTCATCAACCAAAACCAAACTACAACAAACCTGGCACGTCTGAAGCACCGAGTCATTTGTGCTCTTAACTTTAGACTATTTATGACTATTTATCTATATTATTAAATGGTCAAATTTAATTTAATCAAGATAATTTGAGGTAAAGTAAAAGTCTGTAAATAAATATAATGTTTAACAACAATCAAGCAGATAAAAGTTCAACAAAAGCAAATTTGTCTCCTCTGTAGCTGAATGTTTATTATATACTAATTATTAATTTGCATGTAACCAATGATTAATTATTGTATGTAAAAAATTAATAATTCATTATATACAATAATTGATAATATAATTTGTTGCATAAATGATTACTTACATATATGATTTCTTAAGTCATAAAAAATATTAGGTGTCCCACAAATCTTTGGATTTAGTGAACTATAAAAAAATCAAGAGAATCAAGTAAATAAGAACAAACTAGTAGTGAAAGAAATCTCACCTTCTGGTTTTTATGAAATTGTAATGAAATATTTTCAATGTAAAATGTCCTAAAAACCTTAAATTTTTTAAAAACATAATCATATTTTAGCATTCAGTTCAAAACATGTTTAGATTAATGTCAGGATAAACTCATCAACTAATTATGGGAATAAACCAAAAAAATGTGATAAAATATATGGAAAGAGAACTTTTTGTCTCATATAAAAGGGAAAACCCAGAAAATGAAATAACACATTTTAAACTGAAATCAAAGAAAAGCAGGAAAATAGTTTTATGGTATTTAAATAAGTATTAAATAATTCAAATGAAAGAAATGTAAAATATTATGCTTTTCTCATCCCACTGACCTCTCTCAAACCCGTCTTATTGTTCTTGTCTAAATGCATGAAATTGGCTGAGAAGTTCTCAGTCAGAGACGCCATCGTGGGCGCTCACGAGGACGCCGTCTCACCTCGTACTTCTGCCTCTTCAGTCTCTCCGTGTGGTCGAACTTCTCAGACTCCAGCTGGGTCATCCAGTCATGCAGCTCTTTGATCTTTTCCCTGCAGCAAACACAAAAACACAAATAAACCAAGCAGTTCTTCTGACAGGTGGATTTTGCTTCTGGCACATTCAGTTCCTTGTCTTTACTTTGTTGAGGTTTTTCACCATTTTCTAGGACATTTCTAAGACGTTCAAACTATTTTACACAGGCGTAAAAGTCTAAGGTTATAGTTTTAGTTTCACAGCCGAGTCGTACTTCAGCTTATCCTCGTTCAGATGGTCGATGTTCAGCTGCTTGCGCCTGGCGGCCAGGATCTTCTTCTTCTTCTCCCTCTCAGTCTCTTTCTTTCCTCCTCTCTTCTGGTCAGCCTGTTTGGACAGATGCAGGTCAACAGCTGATCCCATAGACACGTGTGTGTCTGTGTGCATGTATACTGACTCTCTGCAGGTGACTGCTGTACTGGGAGCCCATGCTGGACAGAGCCGACTTCTTCTTGGCATCATCATCTGCCTTCTTCTTGGCATCAGCCTCCTCTCTGATCCGCCTCTCCTCCTGATTTGACAAAAAATACCTCAGAGTGAGACCTCTGCATCCACCACCCGCTCTCTGATCGTCCCTGGTAACCACCAATTTGAACAGAGTACTTACAACATCGGGTCCCAGGACTAACATTAGCTGCACTTATTCATCCTGAACCTGGAAAAACTGGCTTTAAATACTTTGCTGCCTACAAATGGAAGTCACAAGAAACTCCAACTACGTTCGCTCTTTTCAAGGGAACATTTTAAAAGGTTATGTTTATATATCTGCACCAAGACATTTTGTCTTTGCTCCATATATTCATATAGCAGTCACATTTTCATAGTTTGAAAATAACACACCTCACGTCTGGCCTGGCGCTCCTTTTCCTTCTCAGCGCGGACCCTCTGCTGCTCGGCCCTCTCGGCACGACGCTTCTCCTGTGGGACAGGAGCAAACGTTGGGTTAGAAAACAAAGATAACTCACACACCACACAGTGAGTGTCCTTGTTTTTGCTTTGTATCTCTACTAAGATAATTGAAAGATTTTTTTAATTACAAAAATGTAAAAATTAAAAATATAGTGTTTTATTGTTCCCATGATATTTTTTAGTGTTTTTATTGTTGATGTTTTGTCTTTTCTCCCTTTGATTTGTGTCATTATCAGCTTGTCTGTGAGCCTAATTTTATTTAATAAAATGAATCACATTGAGAAGACATGCAGAGCCAGCAGAGCTCAGCCTTTAGAAGCCATTCCTTGGCCAGAAATGAGAGCCTGTCACCAACTGCAAAAGGCAGGAAGTATTTCCTGTGTGGATGAATTATTGTGGAAGGCTTTTTGCAATTTTCCAGTTCCATGGAAATATGAACAGATAAAACTACCCATTAGCTAAATACTTACAATCCTCTCCTTGAGGGCGATCAGCTCCTCCTCCTCCTTCTTCCTGTGCTCAAAGTGAGCATCGATCAGGGCCTGCAGCTCAATCAGATCCTTGTTCTGACGTTTCTTCTGGATGTCCTGTGGGGCGGATCAACAGAAGCAGTATTCAGCTGTGCAAAGAAACACCCGGAAATGAACAAAATCTCTTCTACACTGCAGGCGGACTTACATCAAAGTCCACTTTCTCACCGTCTGGGATTTTTGGGGCGGTGGGCCTGCAAGAGAGCGTGGGGGTTTTGAGTGTACTGGCACACTAATTGGAACCTTTCTTTGTCTTTTTTGCCCAAATAACTCCGATTTAAATGTCTTCAGGAATCATTTGAAGTCAGACTACATAAGAAGGAACTTACTTGAACTTTGGCTTCTCCTCTGCAGGTTAAGAAGTGAAGAGGGGATGAGTGAATTTCACCAGATTAGAAAGAAAACAGATTATTTCAGTGAACCCAAGCATTACTCAGTGTGGCTTTGGATCAAGGTGACAGATTAGACAGTTTAAAAGGATAGGCTATTCACTTTTTAAGTTAGGGTTAGAACAACAGTCAAATAAGAGCAAACATGTATTACAAACAGTTTAAACAGGTGTGCAGTTAAAGTAAACCTGAATTGTTAACGTTGGTCTTTGGTTTCACACTGATACAGAGAATATGTCTTTTTTTTGTTTTTGGCTTGACCCCAAGCAAAACATTTCCCTGTTTCCTTCATTTATCTGAACCCAGATTCTGGCGGCTTCATGCCATGCAGATGACAAGTGGCATAGCAAGAGTGTGGGGTTGCTGTGCAGTGAAGCACGTGTTAGCATTTCATATTCATTCACCCTTCCTTCTCCACTAGTGGTTCCAAATTTTTCACCTTCATATTTGGATGCCAATTAGGGCCAGCGCTCCTGGATTCACACAGACAGGTAAAATTTGGACAGACAGCAGGCGTTCCCTGAGTACAGATGTCAGACCTGGACACTGTAGTCCTTCCCAAAACCAGAATGACAGATTTAAGATTGAAGTTTTTAAATCTACATACCTTCCTCTTCAGTGGGGTCTGCATGCAGCAGGCATCCAAAACAAAAAGCAGAACAGAACAGCATTAGCGGGAAGCCTGGGAGCTGCAAACTGTACAGAGTCTAACTAAGGCACACAGCTGATCTACTCAAGCTTAGCATGTTTAAAAAAAATAAAGAAACTGGTTACCACAATCAACTGATTAAGAAAGCCAGCTGCTTATAAGGGCAAAGTTTTACCTTTACTTCGATAACTAAGATGGTAAAACAGTAGTTCAATTTGTACGGAATCACATTTATGTATAATATTTTTCATGTTAGCTTTAAATTACAAAAGAAAACAAACAAACTGTTTACTAAAGTTATAGAAGGGAATAAGCTGTCAAAAAATCCAAACTTATTCATATTTCTACTGAAGGGGTTGAGATAAATACATCCCTTAAATATTAATTGATCATTTACGATTGGCTGCACCAAGTCCTTGTTTTTATCGAGGTCTCAGCTACACCTTACCCTGCATTCACCCTTTTCACCATAGAGGCTGGACTGAGAAGATATAGGGATATGTACGTAGTTTTAAAACAAATTAGCATGTTTTATTTTTGGCATGTTTTGGCATCTTTTTTGCATGTTACATGATTGAGCAGAATACAAGATTAAGAGGAAGATGAAAAATGAGTCTATTTTTTAAAATCTTTTTTTCCTCCTATTAGCACTAAGGGTTGTCTTCCCACAGGGAGCAATCAGATGTAGCCTATCCTGCAGGTATGGTACCAATTTTATCCAATTTTTAAATCCTATCAAAGAGAGTAATTGGTTGCATGTTGTGCAGTAGTAAACACAGGGTTGAAATAAAAAAAAATCTATTTTCTATTTTTCTATTGGTTGTCTTAGATTTTTCAACTCTCAAATGATTTTGTGGTAATATTTTAGCATACAGTGAGCTAGGCTAGTGGAAAAGCCACCTAGCAAGAACTGTAAAATTATTTGTTACTAAAGAAGCAGATGCAAATTTAATGGTGTTTAGAAAGATAACTCCAAAAACATGTCCCAGCTTCTCAAAGATAACATTTTTAGAATGGAGAGCTAATGGAAAGTTAAAGTATTAGCACAACTCTATTAGCTATAGCTGAAGGAGTGAGCTTATTAGCATGTTTTCACTTTCTGACCTTAGTAGTTCAAACATAGCATTTTCAGCTTCTGCATGAACTCATGAACTCATTCTCTGAATTCATGTGGAGGTAAAAGAAAGGTAGTGTTAGCTTAACATTAGCAGACATGGAGAAGGTATAGACCAATCTCACAGCAAAATGTTCAGTGCTAAGTGTTCAGGATACAAACATGTTGTGTGTTTACAATACAGGGTGTATAACTGTGGACATTTTTTGTGGGAAAAGAAGTTGGGAAAAGGCTAAGTCTGTCTAAAATTAACCAAATGCTTTTAGTTTGCAAACATTGAAAGAGCATAGAAAAAAGTGCGGGTGTGAATGGGTGAAGAGGCAAGTTGTGTAAAGTGCTTTGAGTGCTCAGATAGAGCTATATAAGAAGCAGACCATTTACCTTTTACCATAACCAAAGGGTGATTGAACATAAACTAGAAATGACAGTAAAGTCAAATATAAATAAACTCAAGAGGTTGAATGTCATGTCAACTTTCACTGAAAGACTTTAGGGGCTTTTCAACAATCATGTCTTGTGGAGTTACATGTATACGAACATAATTACATGTTTAAAGCCTTTATTGTGACACTCATGGGGACCAGCATTGCTCCTGCTCATTTTGCAGTGAGACTGGGCTGCACATCAGGGTTAGTTATATCGAACTAACTGGCTGTAGCTGCCGGAGCGCATGTGACGCCTGGGAAAGGATCCAATACCCTCTTCCCCCCTTCATGCCACATACCTTCAGGCTCAGGCTCAGGTTCTGGTTCTGGTTCTGGTTCTGGTTCTACCACTGGTTCTGGTTCTGGCTCTGGCTGTGGTTCTGGCTCTGGCTCAGGGGCCACCTCAGGGGCCACCTCTACCTCCACTACTACCTCCTCTTCTACAGCTACACAACATGCAGCGAGTCAAAAGGGGAGAGGAAGGGCAGTGAGAGGGTTAATGGAAGCAGGAGAAATGGAAGAGGGGAGGAGGCGGTCAGTGGATGAAAGGAGGAGATGTGAGATATGAGATATGAGGAGGTTCGTGGTGAGGCAGTTCAAACGAACTGTCACCGGATGATGCTAAAGCAGGTGAGACAGCAAGCAGTTACAGGAAAGAAAAGGTCAGTCACTCATTGATGAAATGTGATCGATTCCTGGAAATACCTGCACTGCAATTGGATGCAGTCAAAGAGAAAAGAGAGATTCTAACCTGTCGCCAACCAACTTTGTTTACAACCTGTGTCTTCACTTATCTCAGGTTATGTTAGAGTTAACTAGCATGCCACAAAAACCTGTTCAGGGACGACTAACAAATTAGTATCAGTGACGTGAGACTTATCATCCGGAGTCTGGAGGTTGTGTCTTACCATCGTATTCTTCACGTCCGTCCGAGAAAGAGAGGAGCAGAAGAACATTATCAAAAGATCCCATATGTACCCATTTTTGACAGAATACAAAAGCAAAATGTGGGTACACTGGGGATCCATGCTAAGCATACACAAAACAGTCCTCATGAGCTGATTGGAGCAAAACTTCCAAGTTGTTTTCAAAGTGTGTTCAGCTCAGGAGGACTGCACATTTGCAGATTGTCATGCAGAGCTGCAGGACTCTCTGCCAACAGGACTGCGCCGCTTTATGCGATTTATGTTTCTAAAAGTTTATATTTTAATCTCACAAAGCATAAAAGGCACTGTCCTGTTGTCAGTGCTGGTGTGGTCATTTGCTTGAAGGAGAAAGAGCATTATTGCACAACTTGAATCTGGAGGAGTCAAGCCAAACCTGCAATTTGTCCAGTTCAAATAACTCTCTACAGGGGATGGAAAGTCAGTTAGACAAGATTCAGAAGTAATCCTGGGCCTTTAGCATGGAACTCCCGACTGTACCTGGACCTAATTTTAGGGGTGGATCATTTTTTTAGATATATAATCAGGAGTGGTGGTGCTACTTACCCTCGACCCCACTGCAAGACAGAACACAAAGGAATGCTTAGAATTGTTGCAGCTCATCAAAATCAAACATGAAAATTTGTGGTTTACAGTGAAAACGGCTATTTGACTAAATCATCTTAGCTCAGGATCTTCTTTATTAGTGTTGTCCAGTAATTTAAGATTCTAGCTCACAAAAAGGCCTTAAGTCAAACGTTTTTGGCCAATCTACTGCTAGGAGATTAAAATCTTAGAATTTGTGAATAAAAATGTGGGTTGACTTACACTTCCTCTGTGTCGGACATGATGACAGTGGACTTTGCAACCTGAAATCAGAAGAGAAAACAGAAACTTTAAGTGTGTATAAGAAGCGACTGCCCAGCCTGCATGTATTTATAACTCAGGATTAAGTTGCAGATGTCTTAAATATGTCTCAGTGGCTCCACCCAGACCATACCTCACCCTGCCTGCCTGCACAGTTTTCTCCAACACCTCCACAAAATAATAATATAGAAATCTTTGAGTAGAATTATTTAGAAATGATTGTCAATAAAATTTATCTTGCATGTTGCATTAAAGGGATTCCTAAGATCTGTCGCTTCCAAATCTTCTTCAGTTTATAATTAGACTGTCGACTGAAATTTGAGCCTCAGGGCTGAATTTGCTTCTCTCATGATAAGTGAGAAGGGAGCCAAACATAGATTTATGCAAATAGTCTTTTTTCCAGCTGCTCAGAGGATAGATGTTGGGCTGCTGTCGGGTGAAAAAAAGAAACCTTAAAGAAACTTAAATCTTTTCCATCACCATGTGTCAAAGAATAAAGGATGCTGCCACTCTACAGTCATCAACAGTATCCTGATCCTGCTGGAAAATCCCGGTTTGGATCTAAGATCTAATCAAAAGCCTGCAATGATAAACACACATGACCTGGATTTATGCATGATTTAATTTCCCAGCGATTAGATTTTGGATTAGTTGCCAATTGGCCTCACTAGCGTGAGACCACCATGAAGGCGTCCGACATCACAGCTATTTCCAAGAGACAGCTGCACAGGTCCCACAGATCCAGTTTCAGTGCACCCACTGTTAAAGATTGGGTTCCTTCTCCTGGACCACAACCCATCATTCCACCTTCATTTCCTTATCAGGCTCTCCTCTCACATGGTTCCTTCAATCATCCTTCTGAGGATCCCTATCACCTGGGGGCACTTTGCTCAAGAATTAAAATAAACCCAGGAAGGCCGCCTTGAAGGTCTAATTCCCAAATGTCATAAATTCCAAGCTCGGTGTAATGACAAAATTACGATTCCTTTACATCCACTCGTGAGCCCCTCGGCTCCTGTTCGAGATGATAAACTGTTTATCCTCAAGCTATGTGAGGTTCAGTTTGGGAACATGCCACGCCCTTTCACAGCTTCACCAAAATGTAACGTAAATAAGAGAAAACCTGCAATCCAGAAAAGCTCTGAGGTCAAATACCAAAAACAACAACGGGATTATTCGCCGCAGTTCTTGTGGTGTTATATAACTCGTTAGTGTCACCTTCTGTCTCCTGAAGTGGAAAGCTGCTTCAGAGGCTTTAAGCCAACTGTAAATCCCAAAGGCATGAACCCCCACTGGGTCACTGGACTCAAACCAAACAGCAACAGGAACAACAACAAAGTCCAGCTGCTTGTCTGGTGAGAACCCAGAGAACTTTCAAACGTCTGAAACATCAGCTGAGGATTTTAGATAGATTACAAACTTGCCAAAAAGTAATCCAAAGGCTGGGCTTCTTTTGGGTGCTCACAGATACAGAAAGGCTCTAAACACAAGTTGTTTACCAAGGTTTCAGGCACTCAGCACCGTCAAACACTGGACTTCATTATCAGGGTTCAAACACAGAAGAGGGAGGCCTTTTTTACTCCAAGATCCACTATTAATTGTTTCCTTCTCACCCCTGCCCTCAGCAGCAGCCTCTGCTACTCATGGCAGTGATTTTAGCACATGTGGACTCAACTGTCCTGAGGCTGGATGATGTTTGGGGGACATTAGGCCTAAACCTGAGCTTCCTCGCTACCATTCACACTCTCATTCACTCCCCTTACTTCCTTACCTCAGAAAAGCTGAAAGAAACGAGCTCCCGCTGGCCAAGACAGGCTGTAAGGTTCTGCAAACTTACCGCGCTGATTATGTCCTTCTGTTATAGTGATACTCGATCCGCTCGGCCTCCCTATTGGCCAAAGAATGAGCTCAGAGGCGAGGCCGTCCACCGTGGCAGAACATGGTCCACGCCTTTGCTGCCCCCACCTCCTTCCTCTGGCACTCAATAAGGAGATGGATGGGTCGAGTGCTAAGGAGGGAGGCTCAAGTTTGGAGAAGGGGACAGTCAAAATGACCCCAGGATGCTATTCTGGGGCTGCTGCATTAGGCAAGCAAATTTCATCTGAGAGCGAGAGATGTTGGACGTCAGGGAAGCGAGGCAGGTGGTGTTTCTGATCCTCCCACAGAAGTCTGGGACACATAAACATAATGTACAGCATACTTGTGCGAGCATGAGAAGCTGAGAGATTTGTCAGTTCAAGCTGTAAATCCAACATGTTGAACCACCTCTTGTTTTGAGGCTTTGATTCGCTGGTTTAAAAGAATCAATCTGACGGACAAATATAGTCCTGCTAAACAGTGGCTCTGATCCAGATTGTTTTTCTGACTGCAGTAGCCCAGAATGCAAAAGCAAATACTAGATGGAAATGTTTTGCCATCACTAGTGCATGGAAGCATAGTTAAATTTAATGATATAAATATTTAAATTACTACTTAATTAAATGCGACTTATGTGCTGAACTTGTGTGTCTCGCTTAGTTATGTAATTTATTCTGGGTCAGGGCTTCTGTGTTTCTGTGGGACCTTTGAGTTAAGCGACATTAAATTATAGATGAGTGAGAGCTGCATTCTTATATCCTCCAGAAATCATCTCCAGTCTGAACTGTGATGACTGTCTTTCCATTCAGCTGTGAAGTCTAAATAAGCTGCTGCAGGAACCCTTCAGTAAAGTCTCCACTAGTATATGGTCACACAGATACTGACAGAGCCTGCAATTTCCTCCAGGGGGTGCTACAGTAACAAAATTAAGGACACAGAGAGAAGTCTTGGTTACCTGCGTATGTGGGAGGTTCAAATCACGAAAACACAAACAGATGAAACTTCATCAAGGATTTTATCTTTGATTTTGTTGATGCAGAGTTACAATTTACCTGACCTCCCTGCTGGGTAGAAACAAATGTAATTAATGACAAATATGATTAAATGCTTTTTTATATTAGCTTTAAAAACACACAATTACAAAATCCTTGTAGGATAAAATGTACATATTGCATACACATCCCAACTTTATGATGCATGACTGTAAAACAAGTTGAAGATGTAAAAGGTATTTATGTTAAATTTAACTAAAGCTCTTAACAGAAGAAAACTAACCACCCTGGCTTCATGTTGGAAACATTTATGTACTGTTTTTAAGTGATCTCAGCTGAAGTCAAAAATCAGGGCTGGGCTGTAATTTCATGTAATACAAATTTGTAACACAAGATGGCGAAACAAGTCAATCTAACATTTATTGCCCAGGTAAGTCACTGAGAATTCATTCATTCTTCCTAAAACAGCAGCAGCACACATCAGGAAACATTTCAACACACCAGTGTGGTAAAACAGCGCCCCCGTTGGTGACATGTTTAGAGTTATATTTGTGGAGGGCAGTTAAATTAAATACCTTTAAGAAAATGGCAGCTTATTAGAGAAACATTATTGATGAGTGTAGAAACAGAGATATTGATCTATATATATATATAAACACCCTTCAGTGTTTATATATATATAAACACTGAATTTATATATATAAATTCAGTGTTTATATATATACACTGAATTTATGGAGATGGATGGGTCGAACAGGGGACCCAACCATCTGCGGGCGGTTTATCCTTCAAGCTCGAGTCCTCTACCAGAGGCCTGGGAGCTTGAGGGTCCTGCGCAGTATCTTAGCTGTTCCCAGGACTGCGCTCTTCTGGACAGAGATCTCCGATGTTGTTCCCGGGATCTGCTGGAGCCACTCGCCTAG